AGTGTGTGTGTGGGGGGGGTAGTGTGAGTGTGTGTGGGGGCAGGGAGTGTGTCTGTGTGAGCGTATAGTGTGGTGGGGTGACCTGTACTGGGACATGAACCCAAGATCCTGGTTGAGGCCCTCCTTATGGGGACTGAACTTGTCTACCAGCCTCTGATCGATGACTGTGTTGTTGTGTATCCCAGAGGCTGCTTTGGAGGACATTTACCTGAAGATTGGAGGCCGAATGCCCTTGACTGCTGAAGTCTGGAGGGAATATCCCTGTCTGGTGATTGTTAGCGCTATGTCCATTCATCTGTTGTCATAGTGTCTGCACTGTTTTGCTAATATACCATGCCTTGGGGCATCCTTGCCGGCAGCATATGAGATAGACAACGTTGGCCGAGTCACACAAGTACCTGCTGTGCCCTTCAAAAGGTACCCTTCGTTGTCCAGTACATCCCAGGAGCAGAAAAACTACGCCATGCTCTTCACAGCCTTCAACACATTATTGGTGACGATGAGCACCTCGCCAAGACCTTCCCCACACTTCCACTTCTCACCTTCAAACAACCACCAAACCTTAAACAGACAGTGTTCACAGCAAACTACCCAGCCTTCAGGATAACATCGACCACAACACTATACAACCCTGTCATGGCAACCTCTGCAAGACATGTCAGATCATCGACATGGGCACAACAAACCCCCTCATGGGAACACCACCCACCACGCGCATATTTACATAGACATATTAATCAATTGAAGCCTTCTAACTGATTAAAGATTTAACAGCATCTTCGGTTTGTTTAATACATCCTCATCAGTTGTGTGGCCCTTTGATCTTCTACTTCTAAATTCTGTGTTCTGTGTGCTTCTTTCTCACTTCATCTGATGAAGGGGCTATGCTCCAAAAGCTTGTGTTTTCAAACAAACCTGCTGGCCTGTAACCTAGTGTCGTGTGATTACTGACCTAACCAGTCTGGTGGAATTTTTCAAGGAGGTGACCAAATATTTAGACATGGGAAAGGACAGTTGAAGTAGTTTGTCCGAATTTCAGCAAGACTTTGAAAGTTCTTCGATGGGAAGCAGATGAAAAAAGGTAAAAGCTCATGGGATCCAGGGTAAGTTGACAAGTTAGATCCAAAATTGGCTGAGTGACAGGCAACAGAGGGTGCTGGAAGAAGGCTGTTTGTATATCTTAACTCGGTCTGCAGTGGCATACCACAGAGATCAGTTCTGGATTTCTTAGTGTTATGGTATTCATAAATGATATTGATGAGATTGTGGGCGGATGATTAGTAAGTTTGTGGATGACACAAAGACTGGTTTGGTGGGTGATAGTGAGGAAGAAAGTGTTAGGGAACGCTATTAACGGATTGGTCAGATGTGCAAATCAGTGGCAGAACTTAACTCTGATAAACTTGAAGTGATGCATTTTGGAAGAAGAAATAAAAGACGAGAGTACTCAATGAATGGCAAGGCACAAGGAAGCTCAGAGGAACTGAGCAATCTTGGAGTGCTTATCCACAGATCCTTAAAGGTGGCAAGGCAGGTTAATATGGTCGTTAAGAAGTCATATGGGACATTTGCCATTAGAGTTGTGGCATAGATTATCAGAGCAGGGGATTCATGTTGGAGCTGAACAGAACTTTAATTAGGCCACAGCTGGTGTGCTGTGTGCACCACACCATGGAAAGGATCTGATTGCAATGCCGGAGATGCAGAAGAGATTCACCAGGATGTTGCCTGGAATGAGCTTTTCAGCTGCAAAGTGAAGCTGGATAAGCTCGGGTTGTTTGTTTGGAGCAGAGAAGGTTGGATGGGGGCCTGATAGAAATGTACAAGATTATGAAAGGGCTCTTGTGGTGCAGTGATGGTGCCCCAACCTCTAAACTGGAAGGCCTGGGTTCAAGTCCCACCTGCTCCAGGGGTGTGCCATAATATCTCTGAACAGGTAGAAAATATCTATAAGATTATGAAGGGCATGGTAAATAGAAAGTAGCTGTTTCCCTTACTCAAAGGGTCAATAACAAGGGAGCATAATTTTAAAATGAATAGCAAGGGGTTTACAGAAGATTTGAGGAAAAATGTTTTCTCCCAGAGGGTGGTGGATGCCTGGAATGCATTGCCTGGGAGGGTCGTTGAGGTGGGAAACTTCACAACATTGAAAGGGGACGTGGATGAGTACTTGAAGTGTCATAGCCTTCAAGGCTTTGGGACTAGCGTAAATAGTAGTGTATTTTCGATGGTACAGACTTGATGGCCTGAAAGGCCTCATCTTTACTGTATGATTCTATGCCTTTGAGTGGCAATCAGTACAAGAAAATTTAAAAGCCACTGCCACAAATTTTAATGAAACTCCCAAAAAATCCAAAGAGAGATGCTGTTCTATACTTTATCCCCATTACAAATTTTTTGCTGATTCCTAAGGTAAATTGTGTCCTCTTAACTTGGAAGATCACAAATTTGACCCATATTTAGTGCTTATATTTGCTTATGCCAATGGCCAAATTTCATTAATAGTTTATCATTAGACCTTTATACGTTGTGGTTTTTTTTTAAGGTTAAGCAGCTATACAAATGCAGGTTGTTGTTTCTTCAGACTGCTGATTGGACTGGCACATGGCAGCAGAACATTCATCCTGAGCAAGTGGAAGATGTTGAAAACATGTTGTTTGTGATAACCAATGACTGATCCATGATAGAAATATCCAACACCCTGCTATTAGAATGTTCAGACGGTAAATGGCTATTTTAGGATAACATGACACGAACAGCAAGTATTATGAGTGAACGTTTTGAGAATTTGCAGCACTACCGCTCTTTATAAACTGTCATCATGATGTTTATGTGTGATGCCAACCTGAGGAAATATTGCTGGTTGGGCAATATTCTCACAGCCTCACATAGAGCCAATGCTTCTTAATTAATATTGGCAAAACATGGAAGGTACTTCTTGAAAACAGGCCGCTCATCCAAACTAATCCATATTGGTTATTATTCTTCAGATGAGTAAATAGATTTAAACATTTTTAACCACCTTGTTGCCCCATCCTTTCCATTTTCCTTGATTTATGTGGCCAATCTATAGATGAGTGTTGCATATTAATGTGAAAATCAATTAAAAAGCAAACCAAAATACCTGTCCTCCTACAAGACCGGTTCTCAGCTTGGGGATGTTGGTCTGGGTTTCATTCAGCTTGTTCAGATCCACCTTGCTCAGTTGGTTATGGTAACGTAGAAGAAGTTGCCACGGGAGGTCATTGTGTCTGAGAATGGATAAAATTGACATCTAAGATTAAATGCCAAGATGGGCTGCGACATATTTGTGTACATTTGCTTACAATTTCTGATAAATCAGCAAGAATGCAAAACTGCTTAATTTCCATGTAAACTGAAAAATATTTTAATGTCATTGAGGTGTTGAACACCTCAACAGAATTCAAAAAATTAAACACTGAGAATGAACCATGACTTTATTTTGTACAAATGACTTTCCTTTTCTATTGATTTCCACAAATTGAAAGAAAGAAGCAAGTTTGCAACATGAGGAAGTGTGTGGGTTTAATGTGTTAAACACAGGAAAATATGCTTGTGTCAGGAAGCTGCCTCAAGCCCATATACAACAGCCTTCAGCTTAGGGGCAACAGGCTGGCCATAGATAACTTTCTTGGGCAATGTGAGCTCCTATTAACGTGTGCTCATCACTCACCTGAATTCATATACTAACACACTTAAACTTCACTGTCAGATCCATAGCTTTTCTGAAGCCTGCCATTGCTAACAAGGTGTGAACGCAGTGATAATTTAGAATGTTGATTTTTGCATGTTCAAATTCTGCAATAAATACTGAGTACTCATCAGGGACTACACTCCGAAAGCTTGTGTTTTCAAATAAACCTGTTGGACTATAACCTGGTATTGTGTGATTTCTGACCTTGTCCATCCCAGTCCAACACTTGCACCTTCACAACAAAGTGGTGAGCCTGAGGAATTCTCTTCCATAGAAAGTGGTTAAGGCCAAAACATTGAATGTTTTCAAGAAGGAGTTAGAAATTGTTCTTAGCACTAAAGAGATCACAGGGTGTGGGGAGAAAGTGAATACATGGTACAGGGTTGGATAATCAGCCATGATCATACTGAATGACGTAGCAGGCCTGAAGGGCTGAATGGCCTACTCCTGCTCCTATTTTCGACGTTGTTATATTTCAGTTGTCAGCTCACAAATGCATAACCTAGGTGACTGGTTGATAACTATATGAATTTAGCCCGTGATAAAAACACCAATCAGACTGAGTGGGTTCTCAAGTTTGTCTCTCAGTCTGGCGTCCCACAAGCTGGTTGACGTGTGGTAATCTCCAAATCCATGCAGGGTCAGCACTGAGTGGTAGTAAATGGTGGGGGTTTCCATTCCATTTATGTGTAGCTGTGTTCCAGAATTGCAGACAGCAGAATGATGTGGCAGTCCATGGTCCCTCACATTGCTGTATTTGGAAACATACACCAAGCTAACTGCTAGGAGCAGCCCTGGACCCTCCCTTCTTTAACTATCCCCCCAACCCAAACCATCCTGTGTCCTACCCCACTCCACAGACTGACCCTCAAGATCCCCCTACCCAACACTCCCCTAAGTGCTCATTCATTTACCTAGCTCACAACACCACACGCCTCACCCACCTGGCACACAATATGCCTCAACTGCCTGGCACAAACACTCCTCACCTACCTGGCATAAAAACATATCATCCAGTTGACACGCAACATTCCTCACCCACTAGGCACACAACTCCCTTCATGCACCTGGCACAAACATCATACCACTCACCCACCTGGCACAAACACCCCTCACCCACCTAAATCATGACACCCCTCACCCACCTGACTCATAACACCTCTCGCCCACCTGACACACAGCACTCATCACCCACCTAACACACAATACCTCTCACCCACCTGGCACCTTCACCCACACATACATATTTACCCTTTCACAAGAGCTGTTGAAATGATTGGCTGTGCGGCTGGACATTTAAATCACAAAACACAGCACACTGAGTGCAGCTAAAGGAAATGGTGTTTCTGGGATAATTCGCTTTGTTCCTGGTTCTGTGGATTCCAAGATGGATTTATAACAGAAGGCCCCAATCTCCAGCACAGAAGGCATCTCAAGGTAAACAGGTAACTTTCAAGTTGATCAGAGTTGGAAATAGGCTAGTCAATGACTCGCAGAAAATTGTCACTGTGTATGGTAAATAAATCTGTTGCAATTTTAGACTGAGGGAATGACAGAATCCAATGAGGATGTAGAGGTTCCTTGCATTGACATGTTTGGTGACTCTCACATGCTTCACATCTTACCATGTTTGCGATGTGCTTGTTAACACTTGACCAATATACGGTGTCCTCATCTAGGTCCCTTGTTTGCTCTATGAGGGTCGTATGTCCTTCATGTAACTACGATAACATATCTTGGTGAAGAGCTGTGAATGCAAGCACCTGTTTCTCTTTAAAAACTATGTCTGTTGACTTACCTAGTTCATCTCTGTATGGCCAAAAATAGTATCTGGCCCCCCTCATACAATATTAGACCATCCCACTATGATAACCTCACTGTTGTATGTTTGGTGAAGCATCTTGCATTCTTAATCAGATTTAGGAATCTGCTCAGTATGTTCCAATAATTATCTTGGTCAACTGTCAGGCTTGTAGAAGATATTGAAGTTGTTTCCCTATACCTTTATCAGAAGCCATTTTAGTCTAAGTGCTGCACTTCTCCGTAGTTTACACTCTATCACTTCCAATGGTTGATGATTGGTTTCCGTCGGGAATTGTTTACCAAACAGGTGCATATGGATACTTGTGATACCAAATACCAAAGCAAGTGCTTCATACTCTACATTGGAAGAATTGGAGTGTACCTGCAATGGACCTTTGGACCTGTAAGCAATTGGCTTGCCACCTTGTATGATGCACAGTCCTGGCCTTTTCTGAGATGCAGCAACTTCAAGGATCTTGTTCCTTCAATTGTAGTAAGATGTGCGTAGTATAAAAGTTTGTGCTGACAAAGCTTGTTTGAGGGAATCAAACACATACTGATGTTCCTTCTGCCCATACGTATGAAATGTCTTTCCTAAAGAGGTCTCTTAATAATAATGCTTTATCAGAAACAATTGGTGTGTATGGTGCTGGGAAGTCAAAAAATGCAAGGTATCTCTGCAGGTCTTCTTTGTCTTGAGCACTGGGCATATGTTGCACTCCTTCAACTTTGCCTGGCTCAGGATGGATCCTGTAATTTGGATAAAAGAACGAAGCAAATTGTTCTGACCAAAACCCACTCGGCACTTTGTGCTGTTGAAGATGAGTCCTTCACGATGAGCTGCTGCATTACTGAGTGTAGATTTTGGTTGTGCCCTTTTTTGGTTGTGCCCATCATGGCGATATCATCAGCAATACAGACACATCCAGAAATACCTTCTATAATTCTGTTCACATACCGTTGGAACAGATCATGGCTAATGGATGGACTGAAAAATGGTGGCTGGAAGCAATATCTTCCAATAGTATTTCAAAATAGTGATTTCTTGAGATTCCATTGTCAGGTGAGCAGACCAATTTGGGATGCAATTCCTCTAATGTTGGAATTTTGTGCAGACATTTCATTTGAGAAAAGCTTAGATGTTTTGGGTCCAAACAATTTTACCATTTTTCTGTAGCACACATATAATAAAACTACACCAGTCTGTATGCTGATGGACATGATGAATAATACTTTGTATCATTCAGCTCACTCTTAAGCTTATCTTGTATGTGAACACTGCACTTTCTGAGAGGGTTGACTGATGGAATTGGATCTTCTCTGAGGTGCAAATATATCAACTTTAAGGGTTCCTGTGGTGTTGATTCTGTCCGTGTATATTTGTTGTAAGTCCTGGATTGACTCAATGTGATTATTCTTAGCCTGTTCTGCAGTGTTTGCTACATTGGTGATCTTATGACTCTGTAAACAATGGTAACCCTGCAATTGCTGGTCTGTTCACACCCACCAAGTAAAATACATTTCATGCAGAATTGCCATAGTTGCATTTCATTTTCAATGTACCGATGCCATTATATGCAGCCAATTTTTGCAGTTTTATTTTGTAATATTGTCAACTGTCCAGATACATATCCTTCAGCATTCTGACTGGTATTTATGGATGTGGGTGTCTCTGGCAAGGCCAGCATTTATTGTGCATGCCTAATTGCCCAGAAGGCAGTTAAGAGTCAACCATATTATTGTGGGTCTGGAATCATATGTAGGCCAGACCAGGTAAGGATGGCAGATTTCCTTCCCTAAAGGACATTAGCAAACCAGATAGGTTTTTCTGACACTAGACAATGGTTTCAGGGTCATCATTAGACCCTTAATTCCAATTCTTTATTGATTTCAAATTCCACTATCTGCCATGGTGGGGTTTGAACCTGGATCCCCAAAACAGTAGCTGAGTTTCTGGACTACTAGTCTAGCAATAATATCATTAGGTCATTGCCTTCCTAAATACAGAATACAGTGGGCCCTAATTTACAAATGTCTGGCTTACAAACACTTGTACTTTCGAATATGATCCCATGACAGGCTTTAATTTTAAAGACTTGTCATACAAACATTTCTTATACTAATGAACAGCTGCTTTACATCATCCTGCATTGTGTTCCAACTAAAGTACAAATCAGCTTGTGAACAGACTCCAGAACAGGATCCATTCGCAACCCATGGAATGCCTGGATGTTTTTTTCTATTCACTCATGGGATGTGGGTGTTGCTGTCTGTCAGGTGTTCTTATTACTTTGTTGACCTTGAAAAGGTGGTGTGAACTCCTTTCATGAAACACTGCAGTCTACCTGCTGTAGATAGAACCACAATGCTGCTAGGGAGGGAATTCCAGCTGGCTGGCCTGTGTTCACTTTGGTTTTGAATGTGTGTTTGCAAATTTTCTTTGGGCAAATAATATTAATAGTAGCAAAGGCTTCTAACTGTTCCTTTTTGTCCACACGCTGTATCACATTCACAATGTGGAGAACCTATACAGCTCTCAGAATACACTTTGAACCTTCACCCTAGTCTCTCTTAATGTGAACCTCATATTCTTACTTTTATGTAGGTCTCTGGTGCACTCCCTGTTATTGCTGCTGGCTGGCCGTACATGCTTTTTGTTTCTTGCATCCCACCATAGCCTCTGGTTGCATCTCTGGAATTAGATTTCTTGCACTGGCAATTCCTCCCAGTGTCCTTTCGCACTGCATAACTTGCATAGATCTTGGAAGACAGGACAGCTTCAGGTGGGTGCAGGGACTCACATTTCCTAAACAACTTGCTTGCTTTCAGGGCTTGGTTACAGAGTACAAATACAGCTAACTGTACCCAATGCTTGCAGATGTTGTTATCTGGCTATTATTCCTTCATTTTTTTCTGTCATCCTTAGCGCTGTGTAAATGTTGTGATCTTTCTTTTTCTTCAAGAGGTCTTTTTGGAAATCTTTGATAGGGTTGAATTTAAAACTGCCGCCATTATGACTCAGATCGCTCAGCCGCTGAGAAACCACAAACTGCTTTTATCACAGTACTTACTGATAAAACTGAACAATTGATTCTTGTGGGTGTTGGTTGTAGAGCAGTTCAGAACAAATGTGCCAATTTAAAAAGAGAACTTTGGGCAATAATGTACAGATGTGAGAAAAGTCATATCAATCTGTACAGGAAAATGCCATGGTGGATGGCAGCTATCATCAACTGGGATCATTCCAAAACAAAAATCTGTGAAAATGACCAGCAAGATTTCAGAGATTACTCCTGTGGCATTCAAAGTTATGATTTGACTCTGGAATGCAAGGCTATATTTCATCTGTCACCACAAGAAAACCAGGAGATAAGAGATCTAATTTGTAAAGTTCCATCACTTAGCAAACTAACATGAGTGAAAATGAATCAAATCAGAGATGAGACCAACAAGGGCATTGAGCTTTATGTGTATTCTCAGCTTGAGATCCAGAGTTGTTCTGATTAGGTGCAACTAACACAGCCAATAATACTGCAATATTGCTCAATTAGAGGTGGCACTTTGCTTGAAGATAATATTGTGTTGGTTTAAACCAGAATCACTCTAAAACAATGTAGGAAGAACTTCTTCAGTAGATACATGCAGTCCACATGTGAATGGAGGAATGAAAATAAGATGGGAGACACATCAACTCTGTTCTGGACATGTCTCACATCAAAGAAATATTCTCCACATGCAGCATGTGTTGAATGTGTAGAAATACACAGCAGTAAGAATCTCCATGGCTAATGTTAGTGCTGACCAATTCTCAAAAAAACATCAAGAATAGTTTTGAATGGCAGCTGAGTATTATTCAAAGTTACCATGCATTAAAAAGTTGAAAGAGTTGACAGCTACTAGAATCAACAGTATGACTTCTATTTGCTGAGGGAGGATTCCTAAAAATGTATGTAATTCTGGAACCAAATTAATCTCTAGAGAGTTTGAGAATTTTCTGAACTTTGTGAGTTTAACATTATAACCTCATTGCCACATTACCCAATTGGATATGTCTTCATAGAAGTACATGACACAGTGGCTCAGTGGTTAGCTCTGCAGCTTCACAGTGCTAGGGACTTGGGTTTGATTCCAGCCTCAGGCTACTGTCTGTGTGAGTTGCACGTTCTCCCTGTGTCTGTGTGGGTTTCCTCCAAGTCCAAAGATGTGCAGGCTAGGTGGATTGGCCATGCTAAATTGCCCATAGTGTCCCAGGATATGTGGGATAGTCATTGAAAAGGCAGGGTTACAGGGATAGGGTAAAGAGGTGAGTCTGGGTGAGATGCTCTTTGGAGAGTTAGTGTGGACTTGTTGGGCTAAATAGCCTGTTTCCACACTGTAGGGATTCTATGAGAAGTACACATTCAGCAGATCCAGACAGCCCTCATAAAATCCCAAGTGGCAAAGGAAAACCTGGACATAGCTTTATTGTTACTCTGAGCTACACCTCTCAAGGCTGGCAATGAAATCACCTGCAGAGCTACTAAATGGCATTAAGTACAAGACAACTCAGGAAATAATGATACAAAAGGAAGTAAGACAACAACTCACTGATGACCAGGTAGAAAAAAGTCAACACTTTCATCAAAATGTCTGGCAAGGAGTTGTTAAAGGATAAACCAAGGAGGCTGGACAGAGAGAGCCCATGCAAGCAGGGAGAAACACCGAGGAAGCAGGGGAGAGAGAGTGAGAAAATGAGAGAGGCCTGTGTGAGCTGAGAGAAACATGAGGGAGGCAGGACAAAGAGGCCTCTACGTCCCCTGTGACATGCAATTTCCCTCACCCTCCAACCACTGCCTGTCTTTCGCTTTTGTTCCACTTGCCTCTGCCCCCTCATCAACTACAGCAGTCCTATCACTTTTCCACCTCTCTTCAGCTTAGGACTCGAAACTTCAACACTGTTCCTCTCTCTGCAAAGATATTGCCAGGCTTGCTGCATTTCTGCTACAGTTTCTGTTTTGGTTTTATACCTCCGGCAGCAGAATAATATGTTGCTTTTACTTTTGACTTTGAAGAGCCTGGAGCAGCTGCATTAAGGGAGGGGTGATAGCATCCTCAATAAAACAAAAGAGGCAGGGTAATAGAGCAGAAAGCAACATGTGTACTGACTTGTGGCACCAAAATCCATACATTTGAAAGCCTATAACATGCAACCACCAAAAACATATCTGTGATAATGTCTCCCAAGCCAGAATCCAGGTAGCCCTGACTGTAGCCACATATCCTTCTAATTATTGCTGGAAGTGACTAGCACCAACTTGTACTGTCTGTGGTTGGTGGGTGCCAGCAGGAGCTACTGATAGTCAGAGAAACTGAGACAAAAATACGAATGGGGTTCTATCTACGTCCTTCGACCCTAAATGTCCTATACATCCTTCTGTCTATTTCAGGGATTGAAGTAATCTCAAAAATCAAGATGGACAGCAAGGCAAAAAGAAATCTGTGGGGCTTCTTGATTTTGATCACGCTACTCTGCCAATTTTATGCTTCGTAAAATCTGGAAGAGACAGGAAAATGACCCACCAACTCTGTGCCTAGACCAAAAATATTCCTAACAGACAAAGGCACTCACGAGATTTGAATTATACTTGATTTTCCATGGCGTGACAGCCTCTCAGTGTGGAGTGGCAGCCTCCCAGCTCAGCTTGGCAGTCTTTCAGCCTGGCTGGGTGCTCTGTCGGCCTGACAAGGTGGACTCTTGGCCCAGCGGGACGGACTCTCAGCTTGGTGTAGCAATCTCTCCAGCGTGGCCATCTCTCCGCATGGCATAGTGATCTTACAGCTGTACATGGCAGTCTCTCAGCCCAGAGTGGCCTCAGTGTGGACTTCCGGTCTCAAAGTGATTCTTCAAAGTCCCACTGTTGCTAAGCACTTACGAAACATTATAATATTTGAACTTTCAGCTTTATTCCCTTACTTCCTACTTAAGACTAAGAAGGTATCCAGTGTGTAACTTCTAACCTTATTTCGTATGTTTTATGCTGTACTATAATTACTGCAATGTTTAACTTTTAGCTTTGTTCCTTCTTTCTACCTTGCTGCTAAGATTCTGTACCAAGGTACTTGTATCTAAGATGTCACCTTGTGTTGCGACAATATGCACTTTTCACTGTTCCCCGGTACTTTTGTACTTGAGTACACATGACAATAAAATCAAAATGAAATTCAGCCAGTGAGATATGCATTTCCATCTTATACATCACAGCTTCTCTAAGCATATGGGAGTGAAGACAGAAAACCCCTCCTAATATTTTGAAGATAGGCGATGACATTCAAAGGTTTAACTAATGGTACTGGAATTCTTCTTCATCTGTTTCAAGCATACATATCAAAACAGGAAGACAACCTTGTGTAAGATGACAGAAACATTTCTTGATAGCTAGACAACTAAATTAATCTCATTATCTTCATGAGTGATTTCATTGGCAATCCAGCTTGATGACTTTTGAGGAGAATTACATTTGAAACTTTTATAATTTCACATTAAATTTCACTTCACTCACCCATCTATTAGCGGAGTTTCTTTCATTAATTTCTCTGCCCGTTGTCGATATTGATCTGCAGAACAGAATGCATAAACACACAAAAGGAAAAGGAAAACCCACATTTTCTTTACCGCTATTACCTGTGGCTCAGACATGATTTTAGTTGAACTTCCTGTTTTCTTCCTCACATTTTATATCTCAAAGATAAGATGAACCTTTAACCTCTCAGCTTTTAAATTCATTATCTTTTTGGCACGGTCACTAGAAAATATGTTAAAAGGTAATAAAAGATAATCATGGCAATTTGTGCATTCTGGAGATGAGAATACAAGGAATGACCTAGATCAAGTTATTAGTCCATGATGTTTGTAACCACAAAGATTAAAAACTTTCATTAAGAGCATTAAGCTGCTTATGTATTGCTATTGCACTAAAGATTCTAGATCTGACAGTCAATTTGAAAACCTACACAAGCAAACCACATAGAGCTCACATGCAACAAGGTGCAAATTTTCTACTGGTGATCTGCACCAGAATTTACACGCTTTAGCTGCATTCTGGTTACATTTGAAACACATTAAGCAAGAGTTGCCACAAACCTCAGTGTCAGCTATAGCTTTAGTGAGGCTTTGCAGGATTTCCAGCCTGTTGGTTTGTACAGGATCAGAACTCTGCAGATATATGAGAGAAAGGGAGAATGTGTGAGATAGAGGTGCGAGCATGTGTAAGAGAGAGAGACTGGGTGCAATTTTCATTTCTAAGGCTAATTATGGAGGCAAGCTCAAAAAGTGGAAGAGACTTCTGCTTGGGGATGGTGCAGGTTTCCTCATATGATTACATTCTTTTAAAGCACATTACATATACATGCAAGAGAAAACACCAAATTTCAGTAGGGGTGGATAGGAAGCTCTTTTCCCCCACTGGGAGCTTCTGGGCTCCAACTTCAAGACACGATATATAAAAGGTACCTGGACTGCACTTCACTCGCTGAATCTGAGACCATTCACCCAGCCTTTGCCGAACAACCCCACCCACTTCTCAACATGTCACAGAACCTGCAAAAAGCAGTGCCACAGTTCAGTTCACAATGGTGTTTGTGATCAGAGGGAGATCCTCTTTTAAGAGATTGGACCAGGAAGCTGTACCACATCACCAAGGTGGCCTAGATGGAGATTAATGTGGCAGTCAGTGCCCATGTCACCCAGAGATGCGCAGTTCCACTAGGGATCTCTTGCATGCTTCCAGACTGCCATTCTCTACTCAATACATCATGCCCTCATGAGTGTGAGTTAGCATTGTAAACCATTGCCACTGCACAGAGATGTTATGCACAAGATTGGCTGCCAGGCATCTCCATCACAATCCTCATGTGCACGCAATGTTAGCCTCTTCACTGCACCTACCCATGTTGTATATGCAGCACAGTACCATCTGCCAAAGGTTACACTTCAAACTGAAAAAGAACTACAACAATCAGCAGCTGATGCACCACCAGTCATTGGCTTTTCATCACAACAAGAAGAACACATACATCACATAGTCTCTTACCAAAGGCTTCCAAGGGAGCATGATACCACTACAAAGGCTAGCTTCATGATAGATATGTCATACATCTATTAGACACACATTACTTAAAGCTTTATTGATTTTCATAATCTCCAGCTCATTCAACATATGCCTGCAGCTTTCAGTTGGAGCCCTCTCGCTCATACCCTCCCTCAGACTCCATTTTTCTTGCATGTTGCACAGTGACAATCCCAGTTCTGAGGTTTCACATCTCTATCTGTTTGCCTTCTTCTGACAAATCTGCACAACAAAAGCACAGTCATAATGGAAGCATGGTTCCGCATTCTGCGGGAACCCTGACTGGAATTTTCTCTCAGAAAAGCACAGTTCCATCCTTCCATAATAAAACAAGAGGCAGAGTGGCAACCGGGTGAGATTGTCACTCCTCAAAACAACCAGTCATTTTCTCTTGGCCTATAATGGATCATCATTTCTATTCAGTGGCACAATCACACTACAGCACCAACAAGCAAATTCTGCATGGTTTCCTGAAACCTTCCAGCTGGTAGATACCAATGGTCCTGCAGTAGCAGTACCACCTCAATACACAGATCTCAGCATTATAACCATTCATGAGGTTAAAACCACACCTACAGTAGTGAGAATGAAACAGCCACAGAATTTTCCCCTTCAGCGTCAGAGGAGAATGAAACAGGTACACAAACAACAAACTACCACAATTATGCATCTGACAGAGAGATAATCAGAAATGCAGTCACAAGTACCTGGTTACCAGTAAAGATTCCAAAGATATATCATCAGTGCAAGTCTTTACTGATCATGGATTTACTTTGCAAATAAACAGAAGCCAGCTCAGATCAATGCGCAACTCACCAATCACTCATGCAGGGAGTGAGGAAGAAAACTCTGGTGGTGATGATTGTGAGAGGATGCTGAGGGACAGCAACTAAAGGCAAGATGACCAAGTTGTCAGCCAAGAGCAACCAAGAATAACATGTATCTCTCCCGACGGGTATATGATCATTGGGTCAGTATGAATTGTCAAATTTCCAAAACACTATGTCAAAGTTTGAATTATTAATCTGTTAACTCTGTTTATACGTGTCTGTTTAGTTCTAGATTTGACGACATGTACTTATGTGCAATGTTATTTGTTTGTGATTTATTTTCTTTGGAAGAAGGCAGATATGCTCTTAAACAGCAAATATGTGATAAACTTTTAAGGGGCATGCTCATGATGTCATCACTGGAGTAGACTCAAGGATCTGAATTGTCTATTCCTGTTCCTAGCTCTCATGTTCCTATGTGTCATTGGCATGTGACTTAGTGGTAAAGGCTCTCAGTTTTTGTCTTACTGAGCTCTATCCACTTGCAGCATGGTCCATGAGGGAGGCTTGCTAGAATAATGCCAATTGCTTTGCTTGAGCCCAGACTTGCAATTGCCTGCGATTGTAATGTACATTTGTAACCACCAGGAGCTGTAATAAAAGTTCATTGTGTTCTCTTATCTCATATTTATACTATGGAAGCTACCATTACTATCACAATGTGATAATTGCAGATCATCAGCTCCCCATGCCTTACAATCATGGCAGTGTGGGGGACGCTTAAGGGAACAAGGGTGAGAAAAGGGCTGGAAACAGGAGAAGTACCAGAGCCTATAATTTCTCTCCCTGGCCCTGATCAGAGCTACTGCCCCTGTGTTAGTCATTGCCTAATAACCTTCATTTTTGTTCATTCCTACCTTCTCCTCTTCACATGCTCAGTTCTCCTCAAAAACCTGTTGAATCTCTAATTTTTTCCACTTCTGGAATAAGGCCTTTGGCCTGAAATATTCATTCCATGTCCCTCTGTGAATGGTCATCAAACTGCTGAGAATTTCTGAAATTTAATTTTTGATTTCTAACTTCCCAATATTTTGCTTTTGTAATTTTCATTGGGTTGTGTAAGGCAGCTGCTTGGTGTTTGGGTCAATGGTATTTGTCCTGTGAATAGGGAATTGTTGGTGCTCTCAAGCAGACTGGTGTATGAAGGATTAATAGTTTGAACATTTCTTTCAGTGAGTTGAGAATGAGAAAGAAAGAAAATAAATGCCACCATTTATAGAGCACATTTCATGAGCTTCAGTGAGTGGCATTGGGAACTCTGTGGATGCTGTCACTTTTCCATGACAGACAATCTTGCCGAGGCATTGCTATTGGATGAATCTTCTCTATTCTCTTTGTGTGTAATACTCATCTGTACCTTTCAATGTTCGCTGCAGTATCTTTATCATCTTCCTTCCTAAACATAGCCTCCCAGAGTTCAGCATTCATATCCAGGTGAGCAACTGCTTGCAGAGGATTGCACCCTAATGCTGAATCTCAAGCACAATTCCAACTAACCAAACTGAAACTACACCGAGAGAGGTGCAAGTATGATTATACACCGCTAGAACGTATGAACTCCTCTGAGGAGTTGTCCTCACATCTCAATGACGTTTGTTCTGCGTTCTGATAAAGACAAAGTTTTGACAATCACCATGTTTTCTCTTCAAGTTCAACCTTTGATGAAATAAAGTCAGGAGCTATCTCAGAGATTTTTTGAAACTGTGAACTTCCAATCTCTCCATCTCTGACTAAAAGGGTCACAGTTGTACTAATTATCTCCTTGGCTTGCACTCTGCATCTGGGAATTCGAAAATTTGTTGTGGGCTTCTTCCAGTCATGCTGTCTTTGTACGAGGGGGTGAAGGAATAAATCTGTGCATGAATTAAAGTAGAAAATTCACTTGAGGGATGCACTGTATTTAGTGAAGGTGACTGACCCAGCTATACCACATTGTAAATGGATTAGGGTCATGCCGAAATGTGAGAAGAAATGCAAAGAAAATGTTGGATAGTGCTGCTGAAATTGAAGTGGGTGTGAGTAGCAACACAGTAACATACAATTTGCAAGTTCAAGTGTATAAATCACCCTGTCATATAAGGACATGGTTCTGAAAGTGTTAATGTTGAAGCTGCATTAGCTCCACTCAATTTTCTGATGTCACACATAGGCTTTGAGGTGAAACAGGGAATTTACATGAGTCTTTGCAGGGAGCAGATGTACTTTGTACAGCTCCTGACAGTCCTAGTAATTTTGCCTGATTGATAATGTAGTTATATTGTTGGTACCATGCAATGAACCATCCTATTAACTAAACATCTCTTCTGTAAAGATTCATTAGATGGATCTTAAGGTATGGTACAGCCAAAAGAGGATTGGTGGCAGGGACGTATTTTAAACAATCCTTACTCTGACAGAGGTGGTAGATACCAGGAAATGCTAGAAGTGGCAATCAGTGTAATATCACATACACAATGCAAGTGAATCAGTGAATTGTATTTTTGTTTTCTCATGGTTGTGGACATCACTGGCTGGGTCAGCATTTATTTTCCATCTGAATTGCCTTGTAGAATGTGGTTGTAAGCTAGACTCTTGAACCATTGCAGTCCTTAAGGTGTAGCAACACCATAGTGCTGTTAGGAGATTTTGACTCAATAACAGTGAAGTAACAATGATGAAGTTTCAAGTCAGGATGGTGAGTTACTTGGAGGGGAGCTTACAAGAGAAGGGTTGCATGTATCTGCTGTCCTTATTCTTGTAGGTGGTGAAGGTTATAGATTTGGAAGCTGCAGTTGGAGGAACCTTGGTAAGTTTACTGCAGAGCATCTCATAGATAGTACTGCTGCCCCTGTGCACTGGTTAGTGGAAGGAGTGAATGTTTGTGCATGTGGTGCCAATGAAGCGGCCACTTTGTCCTGGATGGTGCCAAGCTTCTTGCGTGTTATTGGACCTGCACCCATCCAGGCAAGTGGGGAGTATTCCATCACACTCCTAATGTGTGTTTGTAGGTGGTGTACAGGAATAGGGGAGTCAGGAGGTGAATTACTCACTGCAGAAAGTGGTTATAAACCACCTGTTAAACTGAGTCCAAAGCAGTTTTCCTGATGGTTACTTCCT